CGCCACAATAGCTGCCCGCGGGGGGTTGCCACTCATGGCTGGTTGTGGTTGCGGGCTCGGGGTTGGTGGGAGCCGGCCGTGGTACCTCAGGGTGAAGGGTTTGCCCGGGTGTTTGGGGAGCGCTGGGCCTCAGGGAGAGCTCAGGCGGCCCAGTCGCCGTCCCCTCCCCTAGCTCCACACCAGGGGAAGGTGGTGGGATCTGGGGGTGAGGCCACACGGCCTGGGCAGGGTGCTGGAAATGGCCGTTCCCTGTGGACACAGGTGAGGCCCTTCTCCCAGCTCCGCAGCACAGTTTAGTCCGCAGCCTGTCCTGATCGCCTTTCTGGGCTCCGGCACTGCCTCCGCATCCCCCCCGGGTTGTGGGGACCTGCTTTATCTGACCTGTGCTGTCTGAGACCGCCCAACTCATCTCACCTGTTGCTTTGGAAGGAGATGAGTAGATGTTCATGCATGGGTTTTGTTAGCAATAAAAAACACTAGTTGTAGTTATACACAGAGTTTGGGCTCTGGAATTGAGTGGGGTGAGGCTGTTTCACATACGTGTATATACACCTCCCTACCTAGCTACCTATCTATCTATCTTAGATGTAGCTCGTGTCAGGAAACAGCTTTCGAATATGTTTTCACAAGATGTTTTTGGGTGCTGGATAAACACTTGCTTTTAAAGCACCAGCAGAAACTTAGGAAAAAGCTCAGATGGAGGAAGGCTGCAGCTCTCCTCTTGGCGTAGGGCGTGGGGTTTGGGATGAAGCGGTTGCACTTCTCCCAGCACCAAGTGCTTGAGCATCATGGTAGGGCCATGGCTGCTGCCCAGGACGTTGCTGCTGGGTGGTTTTGCATGTGGACGTGTGCTGGGCTCTGCCACTTGCAGCTGCTCTTTCTTACCAGGCTCTGCAAAGAAGAGGTTGTTGCTGGGGCTGATGGGACAAAGTCAGCAGCTGGGCTGTGCTTGTCCCCACTGGGTTTTTCTTTCTCATGCCCATCTGTCATCGTGATGGGTTTGTGGGGTCCGGCTACCTGAGTTGAAGTCTTAGGGAGTGGCACCGCCACAGAGTGCCATTGACACAGCCTTCTCCCAGTGTTTACTGGGGAGGAGGACAGCTATATGCCCAGCCTTTCCTGTGAACTGGATAGGGAAATAAATCTAGCTTAAAAAATTAACAAAAGCAGACAGTAAAACTTCTTGAAATGTTTTTAAGCCACATCAGGTTTCCCCCCAGCACATCACAGTTGTGCTGGCACCATGAGGGCAAATGGTGCAGGGGCAGGAGGGAGCGGCGATGGGGAATGGCAGCGTGGTGAGCTGCTGCCAGCCCCCAGCTTCTTGGCTGTGTCTGGGGAAGCTGCTGAAGAATTGCTTCGGGTATGTGTGAAGTCTGACATCCCCCATGGCTCTGACTGGATGCCTGGCACGTTTCTCAGGTGTTTGTTGACTTGGCCGAGGGAGGCTGAGCTGGGATGGGAAGAGCGCAGGAGCAGTCGGAGCCAGGTTGTCTGTTGTCTCATCTCACTCTTGTGGGGTGGGCATGTTGGACAAGCCCAAGGGCATCAAAGATGATCTCTGCTCATGACAGCACTGGAAACGTTAGCAAGGCCTCCTTCCATCCTCATGGCACGGAGGAGGAGCCGGCTGTCCTATGTTGTCCTAGGGGGCTGAGGCGAGGAGCCTCCTCCCTTCCCTGACCAGGGCTGCAGGCTCTCCATGAGCAAAGCCTGTGGCTGCCAGTGCTGGGATATGGGCAGTGCTCTGCCCTCACCAGCGGGCTGTTCCGGAGAAGGCAGCAATGCAGATGCTTCCCAGGGATGAGGCAAGGGAGTAATCCTACAGAGTTGGGGGCACACAGGGCTTGCTGCTCGGGGAACGGCTGTCTTGCATGGAGGAGGAGGAGGAGGGCCGGGGCAGCTGCTGGCCGGAGACTGCCGCCACCTCCCCTGAGCACTTGCACGTCCAGTTTCATAATCGGATTAAGGCAGTGGTATTAGAGAGGAGGGATGGGTCAGTGGGACAGGTTTACACTGGAGCTTACACGGAGGGGATTGAAGTGTATTTTTTAACCCCACTCGGCCTGACCTGCGGAGCGGTGCAGATGCGCCTCTGCAAGGCAACACCCAGCGGGAAGATGGGGGAAAAAGTGGCACCAGGCGGTGATGTGCTCACCAGGGAGGAGAGCAGCCCCAGGCCGGCTGGGGGATGGGATCCTGCCGCCCCTCCCCCCGGGAAGGCAGCCCTGCTCAGGCCTTGCAGTAAATTTGCTCTAATTACAGCCTCCAGCAGTGGGAAACCTCACTTAGAGGAAAGGCTCCTCTGGGGTGGGGGCGGGGGCGCTTCCCAGCTTTCCCAGGCAGGCTCTGTTGTCTGAGGCCTCCGCTTCCCCTGTCGCTGGGAGGCCCCTTATTCCTCTCCCCTCTCCAGCTTTGCTTCTCTCCCCCCCCCTTTAATTCTCCTCTCCTTTGAGGCCGGGATTTGGGAACAATGCCTTCCCTGCTCCTTGCCCCCCGGCTGGAGCCGCAGGCAAACAATCGGGGCCGCTTGCTGCCAGGGGCCGGGCCGAGGGGGCTCAGCTCTGCAGCACCTGCCCCGGGCTGGTGGGGGGACCATGCTGGTTGTGGCAAGGGGGTGTGCCTGGTGTGGAAGCTGATGTGCGTATATGTGCACACCCCATTTCCTTCTTGGGGACGAGAGGTCTTGTCTTGATCCCCTCTGGTTTGGGGAGGGGCAGCTCTGTGCAAATGAGTTGAAGGATGCTCATGGCGACAGTAATGATCTGATCTGAGCCCTTGTCTTTGCAGGTGGACGACGCGATGCTGATGTTCGACAAGACAACCAACCGACACCGAGGTGAGAGCAGCCTTCTGGCAGTAGGAGAGGGAACTGCAGAGGGTTTGCCTCCTGTCTTGTGTAGGGAGGGGTTAGTATCCCAGGAGCAGGGCATGCGGGTCGCAGCTGCTCTTTATCTTGCCTCCAGTCGCCCCATCCTTTTGCATCTGCATCCTTTACCAGCGTCCCTTGCAGCACAGAGGGCTTTTGTCCAGTGCGTTTCCTGTGCTGTAAACTCGCCGAGTTGCAGATATGTGAGAGGAGGCGGCCCCCTCCCCTGCCCACTTACCTCTGTGGCTCCAGCCCACAGTGTGTGTCTTACCTTGTCCCAAGTAATCTGAGCTCTGGGAAAGCTGACACGAGAGCCTGAAGAGTGCCTGCCTCTCACCCCTTCCTCGGCCTGGAGCCCACTTGTGCTCCCAGGTCACCTTTTCTTACCCGAGCCTTGTCGGTGGAGTTTGGTTACAGGATGGGAGCAAGGCTGTAATATTTATACTGTCTGGACGCAGCCCACCCTTGGGCATCCCTGCCTCCCGCTTTCCCGGTGAGTCTTCAGACTGACTACCCAGTGGCGTGGCAGGGCTCGACAGCAGCAAGCATTGCACCAGCTCAGAGATTTACTGGCAACAACTTAACCTGCAAATTTAGCTATAGCGTCTTCCAAATCAGGGCCAGTAGCAGCCCCGTGCTGGGCCACTCTCATGTCTGTGTGTTGTTTGAAGCACTTCCAAGCACCTCTGCCCCCAGATCAGTGAGGGAACGCTCCCTTCTGCTCTCTCTATACTGTGTGGCATTCAGGTTTTTACTTTTTTCTAAAGCCATTGGATGTACACTGGTTGCCTGGCCTAGGATGTTGTTCTGGCTTCATCTTGAAAGGGAAGAAGTGTTAACTCCTGTTCTTCGCATGATGCCTCCCAGTCATTAGTCAATAGAAGAATTGTCGGGCGTTTTGGAAGGAGCGGGAAGAGCCGCTAGCCGCTGTGTGGGCAGCATGGGGCTCTGCCCAGGGCGCAGCAGGTCTAGTGGGGGTCTCATGGGGCTCGGGACTGGTTTCAGTGTCAGGGTTTTGCTCGTGAGCTCCCAAGCCCCTCTGCTCATGGGTGTTGAGGTGAATGGTGTGAAACTGCCTGGGTATAGACAGACTGAGGAGTTTATGGAGAAACTTTTCTGGCAGGATGGAGAAAAAGTGGGGCTCTGAGCAGCAGATCCCTGTCTGTTTTTAAAAGTTATTTTACAGCACCATGGAATTGGCCAGCGGAAAGCTGTGCTTAATCCCAGCTTGCTTGTAAGGCAAGCTTAAAGACATCCTCCCACCTGCCTCAGTTTTCCGGAAGCGGCTGCAATCAGCTGAGAGGAGTTTAGCCTGTCCACCAGAGCTGGTCTTTGCCAAAACTGTCAGCAAAGGGGTTGGTGAGAGAAAGGATGTGTGAGCGTGGGCCAGGGGCCAGGAACACCCTGTCCTGTCCTACTCCAGATACTAACCTTACTTTAGTGAAACTTTGCAAATCGCTTTGCTTGTGTATATCTGTCTTGCTCTGTACAACTGCATTGCTGGTATTTGCCTGCTTGTACAAGGCTTTATGACTGGTGAGGAAACGCACAGGGCGTTACTGCTGGTGGGGTGCGTTTAGTGAGGGTGGTGATGTCCTGGCAAGCAGCTGTTCATTTCTCTACCAACCCTCTTTGTGTGAGTGTCTGCTGGGATCCTCCTCAGCAGTATCAACCATGTGGTTTGCTTTGCAATTAGCAAAGGTAAGAAAAAAATACTTGGTTTTGAGAGCAGTTGGGTTCAGAGAGGGTAGGAAGCACAGAGAGAGGAGGAAAGGGGAATCTGTAAGGGGATGGTCCTGTTCTTCTTGTGCATAAAAGCAGGATTTGCTGGAGAGGGAAGATGAGTGACAGCCGTTTTAGAAAGGGCCAATTGTACCATCCTAGAAGCCTGTGGCTCCTTCTCTTCTGCGAATAAAAGGATGTGGGTAGCAGGTGCAAACTGCACAGAGCTCTGACCTGATTGAGGAGTTTTGCCTTTTCTTCAGGGTTTGGGTTTGTCACATTTGAAAGCGAAGACATTGTGGAAAAAGTCTGTGAAATCCACTTCCATGAGATCAACAACAAAATGGTAAGTGTCTGGGGCAGGACGTGGGGGAGAAGGGGCAGAGGTATGGGACAGAGTGGGGCAGTGGCATAGGGGTAGGGTCCCAACACACTTTCCTCTGCAGTGGGGAATTGGATTGAGTGTTTTCCCCCAAATCACAGCAGCTTGTCTGGGAAAGAAACTCGCAGTGTGGAGGTGAACCAGCACAATACCGAGCTTTCAAGGAGAAGAGCTAACTGTAACGAGGAATTATGCAGTATGTGAAGGTTTTGAAATTACTCAAAACCTCTTGGTGGCCTGTGAAGGGAGCAGGTTTTACCAGAAATGAAGAAAATTAGGCTTTGAGGCCCTGGTGCAGGGCCAGGCAGAGCATCGAGGGCAGCTGCAGGAGGAGAAAAGCAGTGTTTGAGTTCCCCATTGCCTGTGGTGTGGGCAGAGGGAGGAGGAAGGCTGGAAGCGTGCAGGCCAGAGGCAGGGATGCCAGGGAAGGACAGCGGGATGGGCTGCTGGCCGTGACTGGGGCTGGGGGTTGCTGTCACAGCCCGCAGCCCTGGGCTCTGTGGCACCGCTGTGTGCTGGTGTCAGCCGAGCCTGATCCTCACTTTCTTGTGGCAGGTGGAGTGTAAAAAAGCCCAGCCGAAGGAGGTGATGTCCCCAACGGGCTCGGCACGAGGGCGGTCCCGAGTCATGCCTTACGGGATGGATGCCTTCATGCTCGGGATCGGCATGCTGGGTAAGCCCAAGGACAGATCTCCTCCCCAGCGCCCGGTCGTGCCAGGCAGCAGCTTAGAGGTTTTATTCCGGGAGCGGGCAGGGCGGCCAAGGGCAGCTGTCCCTGGTGCAGGGCTGGGGACGCTGGAGGGGTGCCGGGACCTGTTTGCGATCACAACTTGCCCTCTGGTGGCACCTGGAAAAACTGCAAACTTGTCACTGCTGCCCTGTGACAGCCAGAGCTGGCCGTGCACAGCCATGTGCTGGGCAGCTCTGGCCCTCTGCAACTCTGTTAACGGTCCTGCAGTACCATAGCATGTAGACTGTAATTCTTTAATCGCTCTCGTGGAATACGATGTAACTACATAGCTGAACCGACTGTGGAGTAATCTGTGCTCAGGCATCTTCCTCCCACGCTTCTACAGGCTTTCTGATGAATTAGTTGATTAAAGAGCTCCCGAGCTTCTAATTGAAACAGTGATCCATATCCTCATGCCTCATCCACGTCCTCAGTGCCATTTAAAGACTATAAAATGCCCTTAAAGTTCTAGTTAAGCTTTGTCTCACTTTGTTCCCCCACTCTTAGCAAGTATCTGGTATTGCAAGGAAAACTGTACACTTATTGTGGGACTGTCTTGTAAGGAGAAATTGGTGACAAGCAGCCTGGGTTCTCATGTCTGTCCATGATTCTGAGGCATACGTGTTCAGATACAAGATTAAAAGAAGGAAAAAGTCCTCTGTAGCCTCTGCTTCCAGGTCTACAAACCCTTGTGCTTGGATCTGAGAGTCAGGCATGATCCCTTCAGCACGGGTGCTTTTCCTGGTTTCTCTCCCTCCCTGTATTTGTTCTAGCCAGGCTTGAGCCAAACCAAGAGCACGCTGTTTGTGCAGGATCATCACTGGTGTTACTGGGCAGGGTGTACTCAGCCTGGCTCTCCTTGCTAGGCCTGCTGAGTAGCAGTTAGTCACTGAACAGAACCCCAAAAAGGGCATTTTTTTCCCCAATGTTTGCACTTGACTTATTGAAGGAAAATAAATCTCCAGCCTGTGGTTTTGGGTTTTGCCTTTTCTAAGCCATCTGAATTTTATAGTGGCAAGGCTCAAGCTGAGTCACTGGGAAATCCAGGTACTCACGTCTTGGGAGATCGCAAATCAAATATTCATCTCTGAGTCAATGCCCTGTGTTCTCACAGGCTTGTTCTGTATAGGTGGTCAGCTTCCCGGGGAATGGCAGGAATTGTCTTCCTGCCCGGCGCCAGGAAGAAGCGCTCTGCGTGCATTCGCCAGCACTTCTAGTGCACAAGTGACTCAGAGCTATTCAGCCATTCAAATGCCCCCACCTCCCTGATCTCCTCCTGTTTTGCAAATCCAGCTGATGCATCAGAAAGCCTTAGTCTGCAGAGCCATGAGTTTCTGAGAAGGAAACCTCCATGCCCTTACATGTTTGGAGCCAGGAAAGAATTAAATGGACCTGCTAAAACTCTTCTGCAGACTTGCATGTGTGCAGACTCGGCCAGCAATTTCCTGGGGTTTCTGCTATTAGCCCTGTTTGTCTTTTCTAGCACTGATGGTCATGCTGCTCTTGAGCAGGCAGGCACTAAGGACATGGACCCTGTGAGCTTGCAGTAACAAAGCCCTTTTGTCTTCCCCTAGGTTATCCAGGCTTCCAAGCTGCCACCTACGCGAGTCGAAGTTACACTGGCATTGCACCTGGCTACACTTACCAGTTCCCTGGTGAGTGGTGCTCCCTGCTGGGTTTTTTGGTCTGCCTTCCGGTGATGGGAGTCCCTGGCATGATCCGTGACCCAGGCTCTGCCCCCTTTCATGCTTTCCCCTGTTTGGTCTTTCTTTAAATTGGAGACGGATGTGGAAGGGGGAGGGGAGAAGCCCTGGAATAGGTGGGAACAGCCTGTCCTTCATTAGGATTATCCTCATAGTCCAGTGGCAGGAAAAGCCCAAGGCGTCTCTGACGCCCTTTATGTTAGCCTCCTCCATAGGGCTGCTGCTGTGACACAGAAGGGGCCCTGCAGCTCTGCCTGTCTCGCTGCCTTTGTGTGTGTCTGTCTCTCTTTACCAGAGTTGCCACCGCTCTGAAAGTAGCACGGGATTTTAAAACGTGGCTTTCCATGGGCCAGGGAACTCCTAAGCACCCAAAACGCAGGCGCCTGCAACACTGTAGTTGTGTTCTGAACAGCGCCTGGACCACTCACAGCCTCCAGAAAATATCTGCTGGGGTGGTGGGCTGCAGATCCCCCTCAAACTGGGTGGTTTCAAGTTCCCTACGTCACCATGTGCTCAGAACATGGACTCTGCGATCAATGGCTGGAGCCTGCTGTGCCACAGCTGCTCTGAGCTTTCTGGGGCCTCTTCTTCCTCCTGTTCCCTGCGAGGCAAGGGAACAAGGCAGAACACACTTAAGGAAAAGACTGTCTTGCTATTTTCTAGAGAAGTGGCAACTCCGAGCATCCCTTCCTTTACTCCGTCCCTGAGTGTGATGGTTTATATATGAAGTCTTGATGTTAGGGGCTGGGAACGGGAAATTTCCTCTTTGCCTGAGGCGAGCCCAGGCTGACTGTGGCTGAAAGTTGCTGTTGCCTCCTAGCTGTCTGGAAGCTCTCTGTGAATCCAGTTTATGGGTCTCAGTCATAGGGGCTTCAAGTGCCTCATTGTAAACCTGTGCCCAGATGAGGGTGGCACATACTGAGCACCCACTGGCATTGAAGCCCAGAGGTCAGATTGGATGGGTCGCAGAGCGGTGCTCCAGGGCAGACCTGAGGCTGCACAGTGAAGCTTGCACTTGCCCTGCCTTGGCCAGATTTATTCTAAGTATAAACGGATCCTTTCAGTCTCCAGGGCAGGAGTCCAGCACCTTTCAGCACCAGTTATAAATTAATTTAAAGAAGGCACTGACCTGGTCGCAGTCTGGCTGCAGGCTGCTCCCCCAGCAGACCCCGCTGCCGTCTCTCTGCGGGGTCTCCCTCGGGGCGTTTGATGAGTTCCTAAGCTGTCTTGCATTTCGTTTTTAGAGTTCCGTGTAGAGCGGACCCCTCTCCCGAGTGCCCCCGTCCTCCCTGAGCTCACAGGTCAGTCCCGCTCATTTCCTAAACTCACAAGCTGGAAGGGGAGAAGGGGGCTTTGGGCTGTTCCAGTGGTGTTGCTGCTCCACAGCCTGGCGCAGTTAGACTGGAAACGTTCCTTATTTCCTCTTCCATCTGTACGAGCTCCATCCAAAGCTGGGGCTGGAAAGATGGAGAGGCAATCAGAGCCATGTGTATTGCCTCTGAGAAGGGCAATGCAGGTCAAACTAAATGAAGGCATGTAATCCTTAGATGGTGTTTCCTGCTGCTTGCCTTGGTTTTAGCTCCTCGCCTTAGGCTGGGTGTAAACCAGATACGGAAAACTCCAGCGAGCAGTGTGACTTCTTAAAGGTCTACAAATGACCTTAACCTGAGCTGCTGCAAGGATGAGATTTGGAGTGCTGGGAGGAGGGAGAGGGTGTGGGGACACTCCTGGTTACCCTAATCCCATTTCCCTGTGCAGGAGGGGCAGCAGGGAATGCTCTCCCCACTCTGGGTGGCGCAGCTCCCCAGCTACTCCCACACAGGCTTCCTGGGCAGAAGTAAGCGTGGTGGGACTCTACAAAGTCCTGCAGTGGTTGTAGGGAACTGTGGAATGAAATGGGGGCAGAGGACCGTTCTTCAGGGACTAGTCCTGGCTCAGTGTCCTCACAGTGCGAATACCCTCTGGATCCTCAGCCCTTGGACTGTGTGCAGTGTGCTCTCCCTAGGTGATGCTCCTCCTGTCTACTTTCCCTTCCATGGCCATGTTTTCCCCAGCTCTGTCCTGTCCATGATTTTTGTCGTAGAAAAGCAGCTTTGTGTAGCGTCCTGCTCCCCGTGTGCCATCTCATCTCCGTGGTGTTCCTCCTCTCCAGCGCTTCCTTGCCCCGAACTGTTTCAGGGTTTGAATCTCTCTGCAATGGGGGTGTGGAAAAGCTTCCTGAGAAGCTTTCCTGGAATTATTAGTACCAACAGGCTTGAAAGGGCGTTTCTGTTGCACAGAACTGTGTTGATCCTCAGGGAGTCTCCGTCCTGAGGATGCTGAGGTTGGCAGCCACCACTGAACAAATTGCCCTGAGGAAGGCAGGGGGAGACCAAATCCTGGCTCCCTCTTAATAAAACCCTTCCCTGACACCATGTGTGCAACTGCATATGCACCCGACCCCCACCTCTGAGCCCTTTGGTCACCAAGCAAAGGAACTGTGGGTCCAGTTGTTTATTTACATGTGTGTTTTTCAGCAAAACCCATAAAATATGTAGAGCAATGTTGGTGACTTGGCAAAAGTGCTTTTCCCTCCAAGGTCCATCCCTGGCTGCACTGTGCCTTTTCCTAGCGGAGGTGAATCGCCTGGGGCCTGGCTGTCACTGCTGGCTGGGGTGCACCAGGGCTCTGTACAACAAGAAGTTATTAATGCTGCTGGCCTGGCTGGGTGCCACATTAGCTTACAGTCCTGAGTGTCTCGCTGAAGTACCAGCTGGGGATCGTGGCATTCTTCCCTTCCCGTTACGCTTACCTACTGTTAAACAGTCCCTGTGCAGCCTCTTGGCTAGGCCAAGAGCTGCGATTCCCATGTATAGGCTGGAGTTGGTCCCATGAAGGGCAGGGCCCCCTTCGTTCCTACAAAGGCCCAGCGAGCTGTGCAGTGCTCGAGGGCCCTTGTGCCTTCAAGTGGATGTACGCGCGTAAATGGGCTGCGCTTTATGGGCTTGGCAAGTGGGACTGAGATGAGGGGATGGCACAAGCAGGGATGATTGCTCCAGCACGCAGGGAGCTAACATGCAGGTGCTTTGTCATCACAACACAAACCTGGTGTCTCAGTAGACAGACTGCAAAGGCAAGAAGGGTTTTTCCTGGAAAAAGAACTGGAGATTTTTTGAGAAGACCTGGCCTCCTTTCTTGGTAAAACCGCATTCATTCAGCTGCATGTTAGGGACTTGAAGCAATGATGGGGTAGGAGGGTGGCTGCCACAGCCTTTCCTCCGCAGAACAGCATCTTTGGGGGTGACGCAAAGCAGCAACATGCTCACGTTGGCCCAGGGCCCGTAATGAGCGGCTAACCCAGATATAAGCCTCATATGACGTTTGCTTGAAACAGGCTGGTGCCTGCTACTAAATATTCCCTTATAAGCTAGTCTGGGTTTCAGCCTTAACGCGATTGATTTGTTCTGACCTCTTTTTATGGTGCTCTAAACAGAATCACAGTGAATTTCACATTCAAGCATGAAATGCTGACCCAGTCATTTTAAGGGCAAAGAGAAGCATACTGGCTAGATGCCTCCTGCCCCGAGGGCTGAATGCCTGTGGCAGTAGAATTGGGAATTAGAACTGCTACATATAAATTAAGACTTACTGGTTTAATTAAGCCGTTTGTAGTTCCTGCTCCCTAGGTATGTTTCCTGCTCTTCTACAATGAACAGCAAGGGGCTGAGCAGTTCAGGAGCAAAACTCAGAGTGGGGAGGATGGTGGGTGCGTCTTGAGAAGAGTAGAGAAACAGGGAGAAAGAAGCTATTAAACTGTTATTCAAGAATAGTACTAACAGACAGAGAAGACAGGCTGAGCCTCAGGACACTGAGCTGCCAGCTGCTGTCCCTGAGCTGCTGCGTTTCTCCACATTTACGGCCAAAATCTGCATCTGTAGTTTCAGATTAACTGCATCTTGCAAGCTAAGTAGCGACAGGATGCATCTGATACTGCCCAATTCTGGTTCAGCTCTTCCACGTCATGCCCTCAGCTGCTGCAGGGGGTGGGCTTAGCAGAGCATGGCTAGTGAGTTCCCCCAGATATTCGCTGTGCAAAAGGATACCACTAAGTGCGAGGCTGTGCACTCCTCTGTTGTCATCCTTGGATGTCCTGTGTGATGCACTAAGCTGATATGTCTGTGTGGGTCTGGTATTTTGCAGTGGAGAATAAAGGCTCCTGCTGAGGAGTTTCCCATGTAGCCACAGTGCCCCTGAGATGCCTATTCCTTCTTTTTTCAGCAATCCCCCTCACTGCGTATGGACCAATGGCAGCAGCAGCGGCTGCGGCAGCTGTGGTGCGAGGGACAGGTAACTGCCACTTTCCTCCCCAGCGCGGTGTCTGTCACGGAGGTTTGCGATGGGCTGTGGGAGGGGGGTGGGACGGGGTTGCATTTTTGGGATCTTCACTCTGTAGTTTTGCTGCCTCCCGTAGGTTCCACCCCCAGTCGCACCGGTGGATTTCTGGGCACCACCAGCCCTGGGCCGATGGCAGAGCTTTATGGAGCCGCCAACCAGGACTCAGGGGTCAGCAGTTACATCAGCGCTGCCAGTCCAGCCCCGAGCACCGGCTTCGGCCACAGCCTAGGAGTGAGTGTTCCCTGTCAGGCTCTGCGCAGGGGGAGGACGATGGAGAGTGGCAAGGAGGAAGTGGAGATGCAGGGGAAGGGGCTGCATCTCCACGTGGCGATGGAGGTTGGCAGCAGTGGGTGGCCCCTTCTCAGCCCACAGCCTGCTTTCTGGTTAAGAAATACCACCCACGGCAGCATCTGCCATGCCACCGCTGAGCCCCAGACTGCTCTTGGAGCCCACATCCCTGGGTTCTGCTGGCTCTGTGTGGCCACCACTCAAGGTCCCGATCTCCAGACCTTTCTGTGATCTGGCACAGACTTTCCAAGAGCCCTTCTTGGCCCTAACACAGTGTCCCGCAGGGTGATGTGCTCTTTAGACCTGGCATCTCCAACTGAAACCAGCTTTCCCAGCATCTGGGATGTGACTGAATTTGTTGTGGTAGTAGTTCTCCTTCACTTTTCTTTTGGTTGCTTAAGAGTGGTGTTTTAACTCGTTCTTCACAGGGTCCCTTGATTGCAACAGCTTTTACCAATGGGTATCACTGAAGCTGGGGACCAAGGAGGCAGGAGGTAAGAGAGCTTTGAACAGGAATGGGTAACGAGAGGCAGGAAGTTCTGAGCTGGCCCCTGTGCTTAGGCTCTCTGCAGGAGCTGTGGATGCCGCTGTGAGGCTCGCTGGCCTGACCCAGCCTGTGGGAGGAGTCTTGTGGCCAGCCTGGGGCTCTCTTCTGCACCAGAGGCTTGGCAGGTTGGGTTCTTACCTTGTGCTACCCAGGCTGGGAGCGCTGTGGAGAGATTGCTTAGTGTCTGGGCGCAAACGGGAAAAAAATGGGAGCACTGATAGAGGAAAGGTCTGCAGGGTTGGCCAGAATCACAACCCAGTGGTGATCCTGAAAGACAAGCTTAGCTTACCTGCGTGGCTGGGGAAATCTCCTCCATGTAGCTGGTTGTTCTCGCTGCTACTGAGACCACTGTGTCTGGGGAGTGAGGTTTTTCCTCTCCTTCCTGGGAAAAGGGCAGAAAGAAAATCTGAGTCTGATCAGTTCTGTTTCTGGTCCTCAGATGTGCCTGAGGGGGGAACTGCTTTGCAAATGTGGCTGAAGTTAGCTGGCTTAAAGTTTTAAAAAAACCTACAACTTTTCAAAAACAAGGGCAAAAACTTGCGGGGAATAGTGTCCAGACAGGAGCCCGTGGCAGCCTGGCAGGGCTGCACTGAGCTGAGTGCTGGAGAAATGGCTGGACCCCGCTACATCACGGGCCTCCCGGGGGCAGGAGTGCCACAGGTCCAGGCAGGCAGGCTGCACAGTGTGTGGGGCCTTGTTTCCCAGGCCTGTGCGTTGCCATTAACGATGGAAGCATCTCTGCCATGCCCTATCGCTGTGCCAGCGAGATGCAGAGCAAGTCTGTGTTGGGGCAAGTTTGGGTATCGGGTATTTCTGTCAGATCACACTGGAAGAAAATCCCAGGAGAGAAGCTGCTGGTTGCTCTAGATCCTGTCGCTTCCCTCCCCTGCTGTGTCCTGCAGATTCCCCAGTGACCTAACCGAGGACAGCGGCTGGAGGATCTGGTGAGCCTCGGGGGATGAGCCAAGGTTACCTTTTTCTTGAATCAAACTGCACACTGCCGGCTGGCTGCCAGGCTCCTGCCGCCCTGCCCTGATCTCTCCCTTTGACCAGACCACACTGGACTGAACCCGAGGAGATCATCTCGCTTTCTTACTAACCACCGACGGTTTACGCTTCCCCCCTCCCTGCCCCCAGCCCACCGATTCTTCTTTTATTTATTTTATTAGCTGTTAGTTTTATTTTTTTATTTTATTTTTTTATCTTTTTTTGGGGGGGCTACCCCTTCTTTTTGTTGTTTGCTCTTTCCCGAGCTAGTAGGTATATTTTATGAATTGGCTTTGTGATTGTGTTAGGTAGTTTTTATTGAGGAGTATTTTTATTTGGCTTTGAAACTGTTTTGAATATTTTCAACTCTGTTGTTGTTGTCGTCAGTGTTTTTAAAGCACGGTATGTAATAAGAATGCAGTTCTGAAGGGAAGAAAGAGACACAGAGAGAGCAAAGGCTGAGAGGAACTGATGTATTTCTATTTTTTTTAAAGAAACTGTTTTTAATTGTTTCTGTTTTGTAAATGTGAGGCTTTGAAAAGTGTGAAACTCCAAGGATCCGAAAACGTTGGACATCGCTATGGAACAAAACAAATGTATATTTTGCTAAGTGAAAAACACTATCCTTACAGCTGAAAGATTTTTTTTTTTTTCCTAGGTTTAGTTTTATGTGGGGTTTTCTTTTTCCTCCTGTATAATATGTAAATATCGCGAGCTGAACCTGGCTGCCGCCTGCAGCCTGGCTCCAAGGAGCAGCTCCAGGTCCTGGACTTGGTGCCGCAGTGTGAGCAATACTCTCCAGCAGAATCCTAACAGGACTCCGTTCTTTTTTTGTACACCTTTTACTGTAAGATTTTAAGACCTCTGATGAGATGAAAGGGGGGGGGTGGGGGTGGGGGTGAAACGTACCGGCCATCGGCTGGTTTGCTGGGCTCCGTAGTGCCAGCCTCTGGTTTGGCTTTAGGTAAAGGGCTTTACCGCCATCGCTTGTCTTGGTTACTTTGAAAGGAATTCACTCTCCAAACACTATCGCTTGTGTCAAGATTTCCTGGGAAAGGGGATCCTCCTCTGGAGGTGAGGGTATCGGAAGGGGTGTTGGCCGGGGCCAGGGGCAGATTTGGGTGGTCGTTCTCTGAAGGGTGGGGTGCTGGGTTGGGGAGTCATTAATGGGGGAGAAAAGCATTAGGGTGGTGATTTGGGGGCGGGTTAAGGGCTTCTCAGGGATTATATGAATTATGGAATTGCAGCTTCCCATTTGCTTTACTCTGTGTTCTGAAGACCGTGGGAATTTGTCTGTTGTCCTGTGTGGGGGTGATCTGGTCCCTTCTCCAGAACCTGCCGGGGCTTCCCCTGGCATGGTGCTGGCCCCGACTAACGAGCTCTCTGCCAGGGGAAGCCTCCAGCAGGAGTACATGGGGCAGGTTTGGGTCTGGATTTCAGTGAACCAAAGACCTTGTTAAGGGGGGTGATTAAGCCTTTTATTAAGATGCAGCCAAACTCTTTTCCCAGGGAAATAACAGGTTCATCTTAACTTTTAAAAATCATTCCCTCTCTTCCCCCAAACTGAGCCCCTGTAAGGGAGAGGGGCGTTTAGAACAGGACTGGGAGGGCCACAGTGCCCACAGGGCCCTTCTTCTCTTCCATCCCTCCCCTGTCTGCCGGAGCTTGTCCTGACCTGGGCGATGCGTTTGGAGAGTTCTGTTTAGGTAAGAGGGTACTTAACAGATTAGTACTGAAAACACAAAGCAATAATTTTTCTTACTGAGACAAGAGTCTGTATGTCTGTTTTTTTAAATATTTCCTAATTAAAGAAGAGCTGCATTTTATTGGGTTTATTTTTATTCTATATACTTCAAATTTGGGTCTGCGGACAGCGCTTTCCTCCCTCTTGGTATATGCGCTGAACTGCTTCTGTGCCCCCTCCAGACATCCAAGGCCAGCTGTGCTGCTGCTGGGCTGTGATTCACTCTCTGGCCAGTGCTGCCACTGCCTGGAGGCTGGGGCTCCGGTTTCAGGGTGGGCATTTTTTTTTAAAAGAAATAAAGCTGTGTTTTTAAGCCAGTAAGTTATTACACTCCAATGTTTGTTCTCTCCACACCTGTAACCCTTTTTCCAGATTTCAGTTTTAAATTCCTAATAAATTATTTGAAAACTGTCCTTTTCTGTCTTTATTTGGGGGTGGGACATTTTCAAGTGGAGGAGATTTCAGGTGAACTGGGACCTGGCAAGAGTCGCATCCTGCCATTAGGATAAAAGCCCCAGGCCCGGGCTCTGCGTTCTGCTCCCCGACTTTGGCAGTGGCCCAGTTTATAATGTGAGGCAGGTCTGGTTTTAATAGACGTCATGTCTCTCCTCTACATCAGAGTTTTTGTGTAGATATTTGTAGGTGCAAGAAAGGATGAGATAGTGTGGTGCTTAGAAGTTTGGCTCAGATGCTCTGGATTCGATGACTGGTGGACCAAGGAGGCGAGATCTGAGAAAGTAAAATGTGGGGATGGGAAGGGAAGAAAAGTCCTTAACAGCCAACAGTACAAGCGAAAGGGGAATTCTAACAGTATGAAATAGGAGGGAACCCTGTGCAGCAGGTCTTAATTATAGAGAATCCTTAAAAATAATCCAAGGCTCAACCCTGTAAGTTTAGGAACCCGTTGCAAGTTGGGATGTTCTCACAAGCCTACTGGGCACCAGCAGCTTTGGTATGCAGCACAGGTTGGGGGAAACCAAAAATAGCATTGGTGGAAAAATCTTTACCCTGCTGTTATTTTTCTCATGAGGCACTCTTGTAATGCTCATATGTTCCCTTTCCCACACTTGGTGACCCTCTTGTTGAATTAAAATGTATGAAATCCAAGATATGACAGTATTTTTTATTTGTGGCTTAAAAAGGACAGTTTACTGGAAATTTTCCTGGCAACATCAATAATAAATCAGACATTGAGAAGTGAGGAAAAAGGAGCCACAGAGTTTTAAGGTTGACAGGTAAGAGAACAGAGAAATAATGAAAAAAAAAAGAGCAAAGGTGGACAAAGAAGCAAAGGGAAAAGAGAACAATTAAATAGATATTGAAGGGAAAGTCAGCAGATTGATCTGTAGGCAAAAAATGAAATCCTTGTTTCTGAACTAACTGGTACAGACTGTCCTTTACATTAGCCTTTAATGTTTGTTCAGTGTTCTCACTCTTAGGACACGAGAATCTTGACTCTAACTCAGCATCTGTTTGGCTTTAGCTAACCTGTGAGTTAGGGAATCCCAGAGAATCAGAGAGCTTGTGAGAGATAAAAAAAGTCGGAATGGTTCTGGTGATTCACCAGCATGTCTGCCTTTAGCTAGATGTCCTATGGCTATGTCAACATCCTACGGATACCATGGGCACCCTGGTATAGTTTCAGCCACTGTGAGGGGAAGATGACCTCATCGTCCCTTATAGAAAAATGCATTTGAACCTACTGAAGGGTGCTGAACCCTAAGCTTCCTGAATAAGCACTCATACATTCAGCTGTTGTGGAAAGGTGGGCTTTGCGTCTTTCCCTGCTCTTAAAAACGAAAGGCTTGCTTGTTGCTTTATAAATAAATGCAGATCTCACTATCAAGTGAGCAGTCTAGGATCTGTATCTTGAGTGTGTAAAAACGCCAACCTGTAGCCCTGAGAGCGTTAGAGCCTCTGGGGTCTGAACATGAGTGCAGTACTTTGGACTTGCCTCTGGCTGACTCAAGGAAGCTTTTTCTTACCCTTTTTTTAACCTTATTTCAAGGTTCCTAACTCGCCCCATGCCTTAGCATAGAGAACCAAAGGGCCTAACTGGGTTCTGCATTGGTGCTGGAAAAAGAGGGATGGCTGTCTCTAAGCTACCAAAGTTTGCTGTGTAAACTGCTGTAAATTCCAGGCCCAGTTAATTTCAGTGTAACTCCCTTAGAGTTATGTGAAAACAGACACTACTCCTTGTTGAAGCCAGATATAGAGGATTTCCAGGTTGCCTGGCTGTTTCTTGCCTAGTAGTATGTATTCCTACTATATGGTTTCAAAGCAAAAAACAGCTTGAATTTTTTCAGTTCAGCTCACGCCAAATCGCCATTTGGGAGAGTGGGTAACCTGTACCTTATTCTCTGAATTAGGCCAGGAGAATCCATGGAGAGATGCAGGATTAATGATAAGAAGGATACCATAAACAGAGGATGACGGTATTAGTAGGATTTCCGATTGGAAAATTGCCATCAATTTCTAACATAACTACCACACTGCTGCTATTTTTCAGTAGAGGGCCCTTAAAAATGTTCAGATCTTTCAGGCTGGCTTCTAATATTAAAAGATTTTAATAGCAAAAATCTAGAGGGCAAATATTTGCCTTCCTGGCTTTCAGAGATTTAACTCCACTGACCTTCAACTGGTCATGTCACAACCTGCTGCCCACAGCCTCCGATGGAAGAAGTCTGCATTTAGTAATATAAATACTGCCTTGTTTATCTCATACCCATGTCAAGGTGAGCTTGTCATATAAAGAGCTGCATTTTCTTTAGCACCAGCCTCTCTGTGAAGTCCTCCGAGAATGAAGTCCCTGGCTCTGCTTTTCCTGCTGTCCGGTGTGTAGGTGGCACCCCCCTAGCACCCCCCTGAACTGGTAACACCATGCCTAACTCTAACCTTTGCGTCTCTTCTCAGTGGGTGCAGCCAGCGCTGCTGTCTCACCTCGGGCTGTGTGGGAGCTTCGCAGTATGATCAAATGCACCATCCCGGGCAGCCATCCTCTGCTGGACTTCGCGGACTACGGCTGCTACTGTGGCTTGGGAGGCAAGGGGACTCCCGTGGATGAGCTTGACAGGTTTATGACTTTGCTTTTACAAACCTCTTTCCTTGCCTGCACTTTCACAGTTCTGCGTGCCAGCTATGTCTCAGCTGGCTCTGCCTATAAATATTCATAAAACACTCTGCCTGCTGTGAATGAAGCTTTCTTTCAAAGCTGATTCAAGGAAAAAAGGACATGTAGTATCACACCTTGATGCCTTATTACTAAGATAAAATATAATCCCAACAACTCTTTTCTCTTCCGTGGCAGCTACGCTGCACTCATTCCAGCACGGTTTTTTGCAGCAGTTCTATGCCAGTTGCCTGGACACAGCTCTGAGCGCACACTGCCCAGTGCACGACCATCAACACATGCAAGGTCGAGCTGCAAAATGCTAAAAAGGGGCTTGGGCAGTTTAGAGATAACACAAGGCTGATAGCCAAACGCGGTGAATTGTGTCAGCTGTTAGCTCTTCAGCTACCGGGCACTGACGGGCTGCGTAGGGTAAGTGCTGGCTTTTGCTTTCCCTGGTCCATTGTCCCAATGGGCAACTGTGAAGACGCTCCAGTAAGTACATGGGCACCAGGCACCTCTTGGACCATTAGCAGGCAGAACTGTGTCCCTTTGAAGTCCTTTGTGTCTGCTCTCTTATCACTGGGTATCTCTTTTTTTTTTGTGTGTGTGAGTTTGCATTTCTGGTATTTTCTGACCTCTTCCTCCTCATTTCCCAGGTGCTGTCAAGTGCATGATAACTGCTACTCAGAGGCAAAGAAACTAGATTCATGCAGATTCCTCGTGGACAACCCCTACACTGAGATGTACAGCTTCAGCTGCTCCAGCGGGGAGATTACGTGTCACAGTATGTCCACTTCCACTATCACTCTGCTTCAAACGTTACTCCAGTCTCTCTCCGGACAGATCGGGGCTGTGTGACACTGGATGCTGCTGTGGCAGGAAGGTGCCACACAACTCCCTGCTGGGGGGCTGCTTGTTACAAACGGGGCACCTCACGTGGGCACCAGAGGGATTATTCTCCACATAGCACACAATTTAAAGTTTATGGAAGATAGGTGATATCACAGTACATAGGGAAGCCTGTCCCCTCTTCAGGGGATTGCATCCCTGTGGTACTTTTCTTGCAGTCCCTTTAATGGCAGTATTGCGGAGAGCAAGAGTATCCCAGAGCGCAGCATGCCAACTGGGAAGTGTTGCACAGCTTTTGCCAGGCAACTCTAATGTAATGGTGGAGCTTTTATAGGGCTCTCAGAGTGAGATAAATAGCAGACAGGCTGGCAAACAGAACTGCAGGGAAGGAAGGAGATTGCTGGGCCAGACCACACAGCTTTAGGGCCAGGGGCTTAGGAAGGAGAAGCACATACACCCCCAAAATGACGGCACCAGTGAAATGGCAATGCCCTGGCAGCAGAAGGGCCTCCCTGAGTCACTGCTGTGCCTGGCAAAGGAGCTGCAGGGTCTGACCGCTGCTGCTCTCTCCTCTAGGCAAGAACAACGAGTGCGAGATGTTCATCTGCAACTGCGACCGCACTGCTGCCATGTGCTTTGCCAAGGCGCCCTACAACCCCCAGTACGCCAAACTGGACACCAAGAAATACTGCAACTAGTCATCGTCGATCCTCCTCCTCCTCCTGCCCCTGAGGGCAGCAACAGTCCCGCGGCGGCCCGTTACTAATAAACGCCTCGCAACGACCCAGCGCGTCCCACCTACTGCCTGCGCCGCGCTGA